CTTTCAGAAATGAGTTCTTCTAGGCCACCTCTCTAAAGATGCAGAGAGGAAGGAAGCAACAGATTTTACAGTGTCTGTCCAGGAGGGAAGGGAAGAAGAAAAGCTTGTTGGATTGATTTGGAAATCCATTTAGCATTATCCTCAGCCCAAAGTGATCAGTAATTTCCGCCTTGGTACTCTCATCTGAACAAAGAAGGGTGTTCTCCTGTTTCTGATTACTCCTTCTTTCCCACTTCCCCGCGGGGGTCCCCGTCTTACCCCTCTTTCTTACCTCTGCCTACATGGTTGGCTTGACCCTGTGGATGCGGCTGAGCCCTTCCCCACCTGGAGTCCCGTTTAGACATAGCCGTTTGCGTTGCTTTTATCTCTGAGCAAAAACCAAACCTGAAGCTTGGCTTTCAAAACCGTCTTTAAATTCTCTTCCGGTGGTCGATTGGGGTGCTTATTGGATTTACACTTGGAGTTTGAAGAATTAATATTTTCTTAATTTAAAAGATTTATGGATTTATTTGCCAAATGGGGAGAGAATTTGGAGTTGTGGTTTGGCCATAAATTTTCTACTTAACGTGAGAAGAAAACAAAGGGATTCGGTTCTGAAAGCAAAGTGTTTCTCTGCAGACCCTTGTGGTAGGCATCTCAGGAAATAAAAAAAACCACCCAACACCCAGTCCTTGACCTTGAGAAAGGTGCAGCCTGGAAGGGAGCCAAGAAGGGTGTTTAAGTAACAATAACAAAAGGCAGGCTGAGGAATCTGAAGTTAAAAGTTTTTTCCATCTATAAAAATATAAATAAGGTGGATCTAAATGCAATAACAGAATTAGAAGACATCTGCCATTTTTCTTAAGTTTTTTTTTTTCTCATCTTTGGACCCTCCCTATTGTACCCTTCCTGCCTTTGTTGTTCATCATTTTTGAGAAGAAATAATATCCTTTTAGGAAGCCCCCATCCAACTAAGGAATGCATTCAAGAGGTGGTTCGCAAAATGGGACCTTCCTAGGGAAGGGAACTTCCTAGAAATGCAGATTCTCAGGCCCACCACCAGGGAACTTCCTAGAAATGCAGATTCTCAGGCCCACCCCAGTCAGAAACTCATGGCGGGGTAAGGGCCGAGGAATCTGTGTTTTCATAAGCCCTCCAGGAGGTTCTCATGTGCACTACAATTTGGGGAAGGGTGGACCATCCCAGGCTTATGAGTTTTCTTCTCTCCGACTGCCCTGGGGCATTCCAGTCAAGCTGAGTGCTTCCCACTGACAAGGTTCTGTTGGCGCATTAGCTCAAGAAACACTGCAAAATATCTCTCTTTTTTGGATGTTTGCCATATATGTTTTCCTATTAAAGATTTTGAGAAGTCTGTACTAAGGAGATCTAATTCACTTGGTTTAACCAGAAACCCCCATCATTATGTGAACACGGAATACATTATCACTGTGGGATACCTCCGAGAGTCTTAACGGTAAGATTCTCAGGAGCACGTTTTGAGAGGAACTTCTGCCCAACCTGATGGCAGGATCTACAGCCCCGTAGGTAGACGCACCCCACTCCACCTGCAGCGTGGGAACCATGCCTTAACCCTACCTAGAGAACCAAACCTGAAGCCAGGGCAGCTAGACCCCTTGTCTTCCTTTCTTTCCACTACATCCCCAGGCTCCATTCCACCCTCACGCCCGCTGCATTTTCTGCTCTTCGGCCAGAAGACGGGCTCACCCGCTGAGCCCCATCTGAGCCACGGAAACTGCTTCGTGTCCACGCAGAGTGTGGCTTCTGTGTCTCCATTCCTCCCACATTTGTGAAGCTCGTGTGAGGAGCTCACAAATGCTGTTGGATGTTTTTCGGTCTATGCATTTGTGTAAGGAGCATTCATTATCAGACATTCTCATATTTGTCTTTACTAGCTTGTCCCAAAAGATCAGATTTTTCTCTTTTATGGAAAGGTTTTCTTGAAAATGTCAGAAATCAGGACTTAATTGTAAAATTAAAATCTCTATCATTGAACCTTGGCGTAAGCCACATGATTTTCCATCTGACTCGGAGAAGTCTGTGATTAGTAAAGAGGATATGAACACTTACAGCAGGTTCTTCATGTAAACTCATGTGAACTTCATGAACTCGTTTACTCCTCAAAATGGAGGGGGTGGGGAATCCTGTGAGGTAGGCATTACTAACCCTATTTACAGACAAACTGAGAAGTTTATAGAAGAGAAACTTGCCTAAGTTGCACAACTACTGTTCTGGGGTGAGACTTCCGGGTTTGAATCTCTATTCTGCCTCTTAACAGCTGTATGACCTTGAGCAAGTTAATTAGTCTCTCTGTGCCTCAGTTTCCACTTCTGCAAGAGGAGAATACTGTAGTGCCTACCTCACAGGGTTTCTGTAAGCTTTCGAATTGCTCTACACGTGAACAACTTAGAAGGATGCTGGCTCAGAGCAAGGGCTCAGTAAATGTCCGCTGGGGAAAGGAAAGCTAGAATCGTCAAGAAGTTCCCTCGCATGACTAACCTAGAGAGGATTAACAGTAAAGGCTCAGTACACGTTGCAGAGTGAGTGGGTGGACAACAGTGCCACAGTCTGTGTCCTTCGCACTGCAGCTTCCTGGGGGGCAAGCCCTAATCAATCCCACGAAACACGAGGACTTAATTGGATGGTGTCATTCCTTGCTTTATGACACATGCTGGCTTATGTTTCTCCTGGGCTTGTCTGCTACCACAATTTCTCATTCCGGATCCGACCCCCTACCAATGTCATGTGTAAATTTTAAATTGTAATTTGTTTCAGGGCACCTGACTATCCTGTGTGGTTGAAAAGATGGTAGTACTTTGCGTAAAATACTTTTAACTCCATAAAAATTACTTCAGAATGCCCTTCATGAAACTCAGTTTGTCTTTTGAATTCTTTCCTCATCACCCATTCCAGTAAAAAAAAGAGAATTTGGTCATTCCTTTGTAGTGGACTTATTTTCCTTTGAGAGGACCCTTTCAGATCCCTGTTCCTTAGAGTGAAGACTTTTGACCAATAGCTGGTAGGTTTTGGTATCAAAAATAGTAGAAATTCTTACATTCCTGGCAGGGGATTTCAGGGGAGGTGGTAGAAAACACACACACACACACAGTAGGATCTTACAGCAGTCATTTATCGTGAGGATTAGAGCTGATGCAGATGAGAACACCCCCCAGCAGGACTCTTGGATTCCATACAGGAATCTGCATGGTATGGTGGAGCATCGGCATGGGGCCACTCTTCAGACGCAGACACATTTCCACCATCACACGCAGCAGTTAGGATACCCCTTGCACTTGCTGCCTTCTGACCCTTCCAGAGCAGACTGTTCACCATGGATTCATGACCACCAGGAAGAGCTCTGGGGTGGCTGTGTGGGGACAGGGCTGCCCTAGTTTCCTGGCTATACCAGAGATTAAGTACGTGGTGTTTGGATCGCTGACTCATCTAGTTTCTCCACAGTGAGGTAGAACAGACAACACATTTGACTTATTAATGAAATAGAGGTGTGCTGCTGGGAGCAAAAGGGCTTTTCCACAGGTGAGTACCAAGGAGTGTGAGAGAGCAGACGATCTTCCACCCACCCCCATCACTACAACAGTGTTCGTGGTTTGGCCATTGACTCACCATTATTCGTACAAGATCTGTGTGTGTCTAGCAAGCCTTACCATAAGCCAAGAAATTGTATTCTGACTTAAGTAAATTATAATCCTGTAACAACAAACACAAATGTCGTGTTCATAATGCACCAGGCACTGTTCTGAGAGCTTTGCATATATTTATTTTATCCTGAAAAGAGCCCTGTGTTTATCCTCATTTTACAGATGAGGAAACTGAGGCACTGAGACAGGTAGCAGCTTGCGCCAAGTCACACAATTAGTGGGTGACAGAGCCAGGATTCAGTTTTAGACAATCGGCTGCAGTCTCTCTTTTTTTTTTTAATCAACTATGTTAGCTGCTTATGAGCAAAGAGGGGAATATTACATCTGTTTCTAATTAGGAATAGGCCATATTAACATTACACAAATTTAAAGCAAGAATTACTAAAGATGAAGAAAAATAAAAAGATCAATTCAACAGGGAGACATAAGCACCTTAAGTACATATGTACCTTATACCATAGATAAAAAATAGATAAAGCAAAGATTGGCACAGCCAAAAGGAGATACAGACAAATCCACAGTAACCGTTGGAGATTTTAACACACCCCTCTTAGTAAATTTTAGAACAAGCAGACAAAAAAATCAAGTACATAGAGGATTTGAATAGTACCCTTAACCAACTTAATTGACCTCGTTGACAATTGATAGAACACTGTTCCCAAGCATCTTTTGAAGTCCACCAGACATTCACCACAGTCCGTCATGTTCTGAGCCATAGGGCTAAGACTTAGCACAGTTTACAAGGTTTGGAATCAGGGTATGTTCTCTGACCACAGTAACAAAAAGATAACTGGAAAATCCCCCAATGTAATAAAGTTAACACAATTCTAAATAATCCAAAGTTGAAAGGAAAAATCACCGGAAATTAGACATTTTGAAGCGATAATTGTGACATATCAAAATTTGTGGGATACAGCTAATGCGGTACTTGGAGGGAGATTCGCAGCTTTAAATAAATATATCAGGGGAAAAAGTTTAAAAATCTGTAATTTAAATTTTCATCTCAGGAAGCTAGAAAAAAAAATCAAATTTAACCCAAAGAAAGTAGAAGGAAATTAAGATGTAGATGGAAATCAATGAAATAGCAAACAGGCATACAAGAAAATCAACAGAACCAAGTTGGTTTTTTGAAAGCATCCATTGCTGTTAACATTTCCTTCTTCCTATGGCCCCTGCCACCTACTGAATTTTGAGTTAGGAAATTGTGGAGTAGGATTTTTTTAAAGTCTGTCCTCCTCACGCAGAAATGCTCTATGCCACTCTTGATATTAGTTTGTCGATGCCCTTTCGACTTTGAAAATTCTTTTCTAACTGTTCTCCTGTCTCTGTTTGTTCCATGCTAAGCAGATGGCCCAGAAATTAGCCAAAAGCAGAAAGAAGGTGCAGTACAAACAACTTCATCAGCTCGGTGTTATGCCTGTTCTTTTCGTTTATTTATGTTTTGCCTTTTTATTATTTTGTGTTTTTGTTTTCTGCATCCAGCAAGTTTTTGTTCAGATTTCTTTTTGAACCGCCCCATTAGCCAACGTTTCTCAAAGCTTAGTTGCCTAAAGTGGCTGTTTTCTGTTGCTCATTAGTCATTTCACATCAGAGAAACAACAGGGTGCAGATTGGAGATGCTAAATGAATCCTGCGGTAGCGTGAAAGTTCCCACCATTGAGGAGCATTAATGTAGCAGGGACTTGGGTCTGTTCAATTACAGTCATGTTTGACTTGTGGATTTTGTCAGATTGCTGGATGCAAAAAAGAAAACTCACTAATAACCACCCTGAGCGGAGTTAAACCCTAAATGAACCAGACGGAGGCGCTTTTTTGGTTATGGAGCTTCTAGGTGCTTACGGCTGCCCATGGGGTGTTGAGGCATTTGGGGTTCCTTCTTAATGGGGTGGCTTCAGGAGTGGGGACTGCTTCTGTGTTGCTGTGGTGGTGTATGAACATGAAGACCCTCTTACCAGAACCGCATCCAAATGACGTCGTTTGCACCTGCTACAAACGTCGTCCCCTATCACTTGGCCACGGGCAGACTCTAAGTGACTTTTCCACGGTCTTGGGTTATGGGTCAGTTGCCCTTATTCTTCAGCCTGTTGGGCTCCAAAAGCCTTGCTGAAAGGGCATTCATGATCATTGCTCGGAGAGCCAAATCAGCAGTGAGTTACTGCTTCCGTAGGGGGAGACGCAGAGGGGATGTGGCATTTTTCCCCGTGAGCTGGCAATGCTGACGCTCGTCCGTGAGTCTATCCTCTGTGGTCCCTTCAGCTCTGACCGTCTAAATCTGGAGTCCGCGCTGCCGTTCTGGTGACTGTGTCTCCGTACCTGTGTGTGTGAGCTGCCCTTGCTCTGTACTTGAGTCGGGGTAAGGCGTTAAGCTTTCCCTTGCTGTGCATTTTTCTTCTCAGGCTCCTGAAGGTGAATCTCAGCCAATGACCGAGGTGGATCTCTTCATTTCGACCCAGAGAATCAAAGTACTGAACGCCGACACACAGGTACGCTGGCCTGCCCCCTGTCCCGGGGGTGACGTGCCCAGCCCAGCATGGCAGCTCAGAGTCCGTGCCCGTGTCCCGAGAGCCGCTGTTCTCAGCCGCCGGCTTCCAAACATGCTGGGAGATTACGTCTGCCGTGCCTGCTGCTGGGGGCCGGGGGGCGCGGGGGCGGGGGCTGCTCTTGGGACCGTTCCCTTAGAGATCAAAGGAACAAACACACCGTGGATGCTGTTTGCTAGTAATCTCGTACGTCTTTATGAGGACATTCATTGACTTGAACAGATTAGCCTTTTGAGAAATTGTGTTTAAAATCACACAGATACAGCTATCACCCACGCATCGTTTGACCTTATTCTTTTAACTTCTCCGCCAGAGATTCTACTGGTTATAAAGTGACTGAAATTTTTTCCCCATGTGCCACAGACACTTCCTGCTCTGGCTTATTATCAGCCGAGCGACCTGCCCCCAGGCCTGAGTGGGTGCGCGTAAGGCCGCCCACGGTCCACGTGTGGACCGCACGTGGCCGGGCGGTGGGGTGGCAGGCTCTCTCATGGGCCGTCAGATGCTGCACGGGACTTAGCATCCTCTCCCTTGCGCCCTCCAGGAGACGATGATGGACCACCCTCTGAGGACCATCTCCTATATAGCAGACATCGGGAACATTGTCGTGCTGATGGCCCGCAGGCGGATGCCCCGTTCCAACTCCCAGGAGAACGTGGAAGCCTCCCACCCATCCCAGGATGGAAAAAGGCAGTACAAGATGATCTGCCACGTCTTTGAGTCTGAGGATGTAAGGGTGCCTCCCCTGATGTCCCTCCGGGTGACCTGGGATGCCCCTGGGTGGGCCAGATTCTCTCTTTCTCAGAACCTGAATCAGTCTCATTGATCATACATGAAACAAGTATTCAGTGAGCACCTACTATGTGCCAAGCACTCTTTTAGGGCTATAAGGCTGAATAAATAGCCGAAGTATTCACCATGAGGCTTATAGGGAGACAGAAAATAAAATAGGTAAATATACTTAATATAAAACTAGGTAGGAGTTTTATAAGGAAAAATAACACTGGGATAGGAGCTATGTCAGGTGAGGTAATCAACAAAGCCTTCTCTGAGGAGGTGATATTTAAGGAGAGACCTGTATCAACTGAGAGAGGGGAAAGAGCAAGTGCAAAGGCCCTGAGGCAGGGACCTGCTGGTGTAGTTCGAGGACAGCTTAGTATGAGAGACAAGTAGAAGGAATGTGGTCAAATGGTCAGACCAATGGGGGCCCCAGGAACATCTCACCTGGGCATGAGGGCATTTGGGGAGGACAGTTCTTGGTTGTGTAGGATTGCCCTCCAGACCACAGGAAAGTGAGGATTCCTGCTCCTACCCCCCGGGGGCAGGAGTACCACCTGCTGGACCAGCACCAGCTGCTGCTCCTGTCACAAAGTCAGTGATCCCCAACTCCCATCTTTCCAGGTGATGTGGTCAACAGAGAAAATTCATTTACAACAGAGGCAGGGCCCCTTCTTCTGTTTGGCTTCTTACCTCTGTCGTCCCTGGAACTGCTGGAGAGGTGTCCAGGCTTCAAGCTACATTAGCACTGAGTTTCTCCTAAAGCTTGTCAGGCCTTAGAAGCTCCCTTGAGGGCCAGGGCCACAGCCCCAGGAAGGTCTGAAACCACAGAGCTCCCCCCCCCCCGTCCCCCACCGCCAGGAGGGCCGTGTGGGTGCCACCGACTGTGATTTTTCCCCTGCCACCGCGGAGTAAGCTCTGTTTCTCATATTGAGCAGAGAACCCTTTGCTCCTTAAAGAAAAATTGCCTGTGGTCGCCTTGGCTCCTTCCAGGAGGCCATTTTTCTCCAGGAGAGCATTCATCTAGCTGCAGTAAATTGCCTTCCTGCAAGAAGTCAAGAGGCAGAGGCAAGCTGCTCTTCCCCGGGGACTCAGAGCTGTTACAGCTGCGGCCGCAGGGCCGGGAGATGCTCACACTTTTTGCCCTTTTACTGGTCTGCTTCTCTAGAACACAGGCCCCCGGGGACAAGATCACGGAGAGGGCGGAGAGCTTGAAGTGCCGCCCCCAGCCATTCTCCCTGCTCTTCCTTTAAAGCCTCAGGCCAAGCACGCAGACTGGGAGCGAATGAGTTTTGAAGTTTCTCAAGGTTTCGAAAGTTGAATTTAGAAACTTAGGGCTCATGTGTCCTGCAGGCTGGTGGAAAGGTGGAGTTAGCCCTGCTCCCCAGGCATGCGGATGCCTACGGCCCTCTGCCGCCTCCGCCCGGCTTGCAGCGTCCAAGGAGGGGTTGTGTTTCCTCAGAGTTCCGGACCGAAGGGAAGGATGGGCAAGCAACAGTTAGGACAGGAGCGGGCCTGGGGATCTTACCCGTTTGCTTCCGATGCAAGCAAGCATCGAGGAAGAGCGTTGGCTCCAGAGCTGGGAGAGCTGGTGTGAAATGACAGTGCCCCCCTCCCTGGGCCGCCGCGTGACCCCACAGCAACAGCCTGTGCGCTTGCCCCGCGCATCCGCCCGCGACGCGCAGCTTGCGAGCCGACCGTGCTCCCGGCGCGCGTGCCCCCCCCC